CGCTATGCTATGCTATGCTGTGCTATGCTGTGCTATGCTGTGCTGCGCTATGCTATGCTATGCTATGCTAAGCTATGCTATGTCATGCTGCGCTGTGCTATGCTAAGCTATGCTATGCTATGCTAAGCTGCGCTATGCTATGCTATGCTATGCTATGCTATGCTATGCTATGCTATGCTGCGCTATGCTATTCTATGCTATGCTATGCTTGGCTATGCTATGCTATGCTATACTATGCTAATGCAGCGCTGCTCCATGCTAAGCTACGCTAAGCTAAGCTAAGCTAAGTTAAGTTAAGCTAAGCTAAGCTAACCCTCTAGGCAGAGCCTAGGTAGGGAATTACACCCATGCTAAGCTAAGATGAGATAAGCAACGCTAAGCTAAGGGGACGTAACTGGGGGAACCGCGGGGCGGATCCTGGGGGAACCGCCCGGGGCGGTTTCCACTGCCCGGCCCTTTAAGCACAGAGAGTAAGAACCCTTCTATGCAGAGCCTAGGTAGGGAACAAGTAGTTTGGGGACGACTTTTCTTACGATTTCTGAGTATGTTTGAGCATTGTTGGGTTATTCAATAGTTTTGTCCATACTCAGCATGTACGGTTAGGTCGGGCCTGTCCCCCTACATGGGAATTTTGAACGAAAAATGAAAATAGTTAAACTTACGCAACACATATTCAAAAATATACAAAATCGTCCCCAGATTATTTTTGGACTATTTTGGAATATTCCTCCTGTACGGAGGGGCACGCCCGACTTAAATGTAGGGGGACACGCCCGACTTGAGGCCATCCCTTCCGCCATGAGCATATCCAGGCTCCCTTTGTGCTGCACTCTTGCAGGAGGGGGATCATTGAGCGTGCGCTTGCGGCCCCTCGGCTCAAGTCGGGCCTGTCCCTCTACAGGAGGAATAGTCAAAAAGATAGTAAACAAATAGTTTGGGGACGATTTTTCAATTAGGTTTCGAGTATTTTCGCGTATTCCGAGTATTTTAATTTTTTCGTCCGAAATCCGCCTGCAGGAGGACATGCCCGACCTAACCCTCGGCTGACGCTGCGGGGCCGAGCGCCCACATATAATGGCAACGAAGAAAGGAGGGGGGTACAGTCGGGGCGCTCAAGAAGGAACCCTTTTCGTTGGGGAGGGGCTCGGTGTTCCTTGATTGTTTCAAAGTTTGCTTCGGGTTTTCCTGAGGTTTTCCATAGGAAATCGAGGTTGAACTTATGGGAAAAAGGGGCCTCGTTCTTTATTTAGGGTTCCTTAGGTCAACGCCTCGACTGTAGGATGTCAGATGTGGCGCGAGCGCACCTAGCTTGCCCTCGCCCCCTCGGCCCCCTCCCTCGCCGCATCACAGCTTCCTTCCCCCTGCCTCCCCTCGGGAGCAACGACAGAGGAACAGGCTGTCCTCCTCCTCCTCCTCCTCCTCCGACCCCACTCGTCTTCTCATTCCGATAAGGTCCTGTTCGCCCAGCCCGCCCAGGAACGCGCGGTTTCGCTGTCGGGGTCTCAATGGCCGATCTATCGGCGATGATTCGTAGATTCCAGCTCGATGCCCCCCCCCTCAGCCGGTCCCCCACTATCGTTCCCTCCCTCGCACTGCCTTCTCCTCTTGCTCTACCTTCTGCTGCTGCTTCCGCCTCTGACGCTGCTGCTCCTCCCCTCCCCATCCTTGCCCTTCCAAAAGCCTCGGGAAGCCTTCGGTATTCTTTAGAGAGCTGTGGGGAACTTTGGGGAACCTACAGGGAACCTCCAGGAGCCTCCGAGGCGATCCGAATTTTTTCGAAAGCTTGAGTACCTTCGGAAGCTCGCCGAAAGCCCCAACCTGCAGATACCCCCCCTTCCTTTCCTTGCCCTCGCTTCTACCTCCCCCGTCCCTTGCCCCCTCCCTCCACCCCTAGTGAAGGATTTTACACAGCAGAAGCTTGGACTGGGAAGGATTCTGGGGTTCGGAATGGTTTTGAAGGAAAAGCGCTTGGGCTCGGAAGGATTTTGTGGCTAGGAATGATTTCAAGCAGAAGCCGCTTCGGCTGGGACGGTTTTTGGGGTCAGGAGCAATTTTATGGAGAAAACGCTTCGACTGGGAAATATTGGGGCCAGGAAGGATTTGACAGAACACGCTTGGGCTGGGAAGGATTTTGGCGCCAGGAATCATATTACAAAGAAAGCGAGGGGGATTTTAAACAGAAGGCGCTTGGGCTGGGAAGGACTGTGTGGTTAGGAAGGATTTGTGCAAAGAAGACACTTGGGCTGGCACGGCTTTTTGTCTAGGAAGGGTTTTAGAAAATGCTTGCGCTGGGAAGGATTCCTGGGCTGGGAAGGATTTGTGCAAAGAAAACGCTTGGGCCTGGACGGATTTTTGTGCTAGAGCAGATTTTGCATAGGAAACGCTTGGGCTGGGAATAATTTGGGGGCTGGGAAGGATTTGAGCAAGAAAACGCCTGGGGTGGGAAGGATTTTGGGCTAAGAAGGGTTTTGCAGAGAAAACGCTTGGGCTGGGAAGGATTCTGGGACCAGGAAGGATTTTAAACAGAACTCGCTTGGGCTGGGAAGGCTCTTGAGGCTAGGAATGATATTATAAAGGTAAGCGCCTGGCGCGTACACTGCAGCTGCAGCATTATGTTTTCCAGGAAGTATTAATGCAGCGGAAAACAGCTCATGGTTTGTCGACGAGCGGTAGCCTTCCAGACCCAGACGGCATCTCGGACACGTCAGGGCGGCCAGTTTTCCCTCGGTTTTTGGGTCTCTGGAGGCCGGTCCTGGGCCCTGGGATCGCGACAGAGGGGGCCCGGGATGGAAAGCCGGGCCCGGGGAAGTGGTCGAGAGGCTGGGGGCCCGTGTCTCGAAGAATCGGGACGCTGGATGGTTGGGCAGAGGGGATCGGCCCCGCGCAGAGGGGGGTAAGGGGGGGGGGAGAAGGCTTCTTAGAAGCACCCCTGCTGCTCAGAAGGCGCAGGCTTTCTCGGCAGATGTAAGGCCGGCGCCTTCTAAGAAGCAGCCTCCTTCTAAGAACCCCCCCCTCCCCCTACCCCCTTGTCCGCGCCGCCAAGAGTCTTTCTAAGAGCAGAAGAGGGGGAGGATCGCATGCGTTGAGCTCGCCTTCGCGGGGGACGGCGGTCTGCAAGGTCGCACCGTTCCGTGAAGTTCTTTCGATCAGCAGGCCTCTGTTTCGGGCTGCGGGCCTCTGTTCCAGACCTCAGCAGGCCTCTGTTCAAGACCTCGGCAGACCTCTCATGGTGCCAACATCGCAGAGCGGATTTCGTTCGGAAAACAGTATGATGGGCCCGGAGTGTCCTTGAGAACTTCGTTCCGGATTTCGAGGTGAATTTCGTGCGGATTTTGTTGGGCCAGGAATGAAGACTAACAAACATCCGCGTGCTATGCACTTCGTTTTTTGCTTGCCGCTTCGGGGTGGAACATGGACAGACATCCACGCAACATTCTGCTGCAGCACGTCTGCAAGATCTGTACAGTGAGACCTCAGCAGACCTCTGTTGATCCAGGCCTCCTAGATGGGGTCCGTGTAGATGGGGCCGGAGGATCGCGCCGCATCGCCGATGCATCGCCGATGTATCGGCGATGCATCGGCGATGCACCTACAACGTCGGCGATGCATCGGCGACGTCGGCGTGTAGGAAGTCAGCTCCGCATCGAGACGCATCGCCGATGCATTGCCGATGCATCGCCGATGCGGTGCGATCCTCCGACCCCACCCACTCCGACCCCATCCAGGAGGCCTGGAGTTGAGGGCCATCCGCAGGCCTCTGCTTGGGGCTGCGGGCAGCATGCGACGCCCACCCCTCCCGGGGTGAGCTCGCATGGCTGCGTCGCTCCATGGGGCTCTGCCGACCGACCGACCGACCTGCCCTGGCTCCCTCCCCTTGCTTTTGCTCGGGCCTTCGCGCCAGCTGCGGGGGGCGCGCAGGTTTCGGGGACAAGATCTACGAGTTCTCCACCTTCGGCGCCCGCTCTCTCCATTTCTCCGCGCACGAGCTGGAGAGAGAGAGAGAGAGAGAGAGAGATGAAGAGAGAGAGAGAGAGAGAGAGAGAGATAGAGAACGATCGAGGAAGGAGGGGAGAAGGAGGGAAAGGTCGTCTGGGAGGAGAGTGAGGAGTTTCTTGGTGGGGCGGGAAGGACGGTCTGATGATGACGATGACGATGACGATGATGGCGTCGATGACGATGATGATTGTGGGTGGTGGTGATGATTTTGACGATGGTAGCGGTGGTGGTGGTGGTGATGATGGTGGCTGTGGTGGTGTTGACGACGACGATGATGATGACGCTGGTGATGATTATGATGACGATGCTGCGGATGACGACGAAAAGGAGGAGGAGATTTTGGTTGAGGATCGGGATGATGAAGATGAGGATTAGCATGATGCTCATGATGATGATGAAGCTGCTGCTGATGATGATAATGATGGTAATTGTGATGGTGACGGTGATTGTGATGAGGCTGCTAACGATAATGATGACGAGTATGATGATGACGATGATGATGGTCATGATGATGATGATGATGATGATGCTGATGATGATGATGATGATGATGATGATGATGATTGTGATTATGATGATGATGATCATGATGCTGACGATGATGGTGATGACAATGACGACGACGACTACGACGATCATGACGATGAGGATGATGATGCATATGATGATGATGATGATGATGATGATGATGATGATGATGATGATGATGATGATGCTGCTGATGATGATGATGCTGACGGTGATGATGCTGATGCTGATGATGCTGATGATGATGATGTACTTGATTATGATGCTGATGATGACGATGACGATGACGATGATGGCGATAATGATGATGACGATGACGGCGATGATAATAATGATAACTGTGATGATGGTGGTGGTTGTGGTGGTTATGATGATGCTGCTCACGATGATGATGTTGTTGATGATGATGCTGCTGATGTTGATGATGCTGATGATGATGGTGGTGATTACGCCGACGCCAACGATGACAATGACGA